ATAAATTCAATATGAAAATAATTTTAACATTCATTATGTTAACCATTTACCTGCACCGCCAGGGGCAATCCATAGGTATCGTAATTACGCATGGCTCCCTTCGATTTTGAGTGCGATCTGGTGAAGACGTATACAGTGTCCTCAAAACATCTCCGACCCCACGGATAATCGTTGAAACGATCGATGTCGTCAACGATCTCCAGATGGAAGAGGTTGATCAGTCTTCTTATAGTGACACCGCACCACACTCTCAAGGATGTAGACCAGACCTAACTTTAGTCTGTCTAACATCTGATCACACCTCCTGATTGCGTCCAACAGCTGTGTAAGGAGCACAGTACCCTGTCAATCGAAGTAAGCGTCATGAAGCCTATTTCTTCTCTAAGTCTCATCACCAGCTGCTTCATCGCCCGTAATCTTTAATCCTGTGATCAAACCAAACTCGAACATCGAAAAATTGGCGATTTTAACCCTGATTGCGAAGTGGAGGGCATCGCTGTCGACTGAACTCAACAATCGATATAGAAGTGCATCAATAATCTGACCCGAGTACTGCAGATCTCTCAACGGGTACAAGGGCCACAGAAAGGACTGACGGAGCATATCAGCATGCTGATCATCAAGCAGCTCTAACACAGCTGTGAAACTATCAAAGCTACTATTCCATGTAGCTTTGCCTGGCATCTGTCTCAACTCTGCGTCAAGATGATAATCCATCCTGTACAAATTCAAAATGTTAGAACATTGTACAAGTCATAATAGTAATAACAGAAAATTTAGCGAACGAAATTGTAACTACAATACGTAAAACGCAGATTCATAATAATTAAAATCATCAATAATGTGACTTTTTTTATCCTATTATCAATAATGTCAATTTTTCCCAATTATCACAAATTTTTTAATCAATTCAAGTTCAAAAAATATTTAAATTCGATGAATGAAGATAATATTATTTATCAAAAACTAATAATAAAAATAAAAATAAATATTAAATTTCAAATTAAATTTCCAACAATTTTTTCAAATTACAATTAAAATTTTCCCAACAATTATTTCAAATTATTATTTACCAAAAATGAAAAATAAAAATAAATATTAAAACAAAAATTAAATGTAAAAATTTTATTTAAATTTGACAAACTAAATAATTTATTATTTATTAAAACCAAATAATAAAATTAAATTATTAAATTATTTGTGAAAAAAATTGGGCAAAAAAAAAAAAAAATTGGTAGTGGGCCGACTGTTAATAGTCGGCCAAATGCCGACTGTTAATAGTCGGCCAAATGCCGACTGTTTTAGCAGTCGGCCCACACCGACTGCAGTAAAAGTCGGCCCAATACCACTGCTACCCGACTGTTAACAATTAGGTTCTAGCCAAAATGGCCGGCTGCTTCTTCACGCTTTCTCGCCGGAAAATCACAATTTTCGACGAGGAAAGCTTCCAAATTCAAACAACCAATATTTTTTTACACTACATAAATCCTATTTTACTAATATAAACAAAAAAATATTGAAAATATCTCCAAAATCTAAAAATTAAACCAACCAACGGTAACTTACCTTAACAAGATTTCGCCGGCGATAGATCAACCTTTCTCTGACCAGTTTTGTGAGAGTCGATTTTGTGATCTTTAGTTTTTTGAGAGTGGGTTTTGTGAGGGGTATTTTGGGATTTTAAGATTTAAATTCGATTTTTTTTAATTTAAAAAAAGAGTCAAAGGTTACTTTGAAAAGAGCATTGGGTTATCCGGTCATTTCCTATAATTTCCTCCAAGAGTATGCTTTTAGTTCCAGAGGGGGCACGAGGAAGTTCAGAGGGTTTTGGGCAAAATAATTGAGGCAACATTTTTTAGAATTAAATTAATGGTGCACATGAAAATCAACGGGGTCCATATATGTTTGTGATTTGAAAGGAGTTGTCAACAGTAATATCATTGGTGATCATATTAACACACCTCCTTTAATAATTGTTAACGATAACATCGTTGGTGACATTTACAATCATCGATGGTGCTTTGATATCACCAACATAATTTTTAAATTTTAGAAGAAAAAAATTGTTTATTTTAAATTAACATAATAGTTTGGTTTTTCACAAAATCTACATGGACTATACCATGGATTATTTACTATGAATGTATAGAGATAAGATTTTGGTGATGAAAATTGAAAGATTCACTTGGTTTTAGTACGAGAGTTTGTCTCTCTCTCGTACTAATCTACATGGACTATACATAGATAAATGTATGTAACGACGTTTAGAATTCAAGATGTGAAATGTGAGAAGATAGAAATAGCATCCTTAGATAGTACTTCACAATCCGACGATAGCATAGTTTTCTATTATTTTATTTGGAAGAGCTTCATTTGCCTAGAAAATGCCAAACAAAGAAATAAGAAATATCTCCACAAAATATTTTTATATTCGATTTTTAAATATATCGTACGATTATCATAGAATACTCATGTGATTGTTTGAATATTAATTAGCGTACCATAGTCATTGGACATCTACTCAACAACTAATCAGGACTTGAAAATGTATAAATTGACAGAAAGTTGGTTGTATCTATGCTAAATAATTCTATCAATAGATGTCAGTGTTGATTTAGGTATTCATGGCAACAAACCAATCTTCTTAAAAATTAGAGTAATTAGCACAAAACGTCGCTACCTTTCATGATTTTTGTGAAAAACGTCCTTATCTTTCATTTTTTGACGCATTTCATCCCTACCTTTACCTTTTCTTGTGGAAAACATCTTTTTCATCATTTTTCTCAATAAAAAGTTATAAAATGACTGATATACCCTTCTATTTAAATAAAAAAAAAAATAAAGAACTAATTGCAATCATAGTTCCAATTTTTAAAAAAGTTCAAAAGAGGAGGTGGAGGTGGAGAATTTATTTATTTTTTATTTTGAAACTACGATTACATTTAGTTCTTTATTTTTTTATTTAAATAGAAGGGTCTGTTAGTCATTTTATATCTTTTTATTGAGAAAAATGATAAAAATGATGAAAATGATGTTTTGTACAAGAAAAGGTAAATGTATGGATGAAATGCGCCGAAAAACGAAAAGTATGGACGTTTTCCACAAAAATCATGAAAGGTAGGGACGTTTTGTGCTAATTACCCTAAAAATTAATTAGCATATTATAGTCGTCAGACATCTACTCGACAACTTATCTAGGCTCGAGTTGACCAAAATGTGGGATGTAATTATTCCAAGAAAATATCTAAAGCAAGAAGGGTTTATGCATCTATTTATAGACATTATAATATTGGGTTCAATTCATTGCAAGAGATCAATCTTCTTTCTCGATTATAAACCCATAATTTTGAAGATCCCCCAACCCTTCGGTTTGTAAATGGACAGAAAAAGGTGTAAAAATTGTCGAATTTATAATGACAACAATATGGGCATGTTTTGACAGCTTGTAACCACATTAAGGGACAGTCGAGTTGTCATTGGTTTGATCATTATTATAGAGAAAAATGAAGACAAATATATATAAACCACACAATGCATATCATTTGATGCATGCATGCTTTTAGATCTGCGTGCCCTGCCCAAGTTTATCAGTAGAATAGAACAAACAGTACTGTTTCTTGCACTTCGATTTGTTTGCTAATTCACCTACAAATTTGCAAGTTGCAATGACTTGTCTATCACTTTCCAGTTTTCATATCGCTACAGTCCATCCAACCAACAAACCCCGTTTTTTATCTAATAAGCTACAGATTTCAATACTCTACTGCTTGAGTTATTGAAAGTCAGATTGACCATTGATATATTAAAAAATTATGTTAACATAAAGATGAAGAGAAATCAATATATTTATTGGAAAAATGTAAAATGAGGAGGCAAAATAAAGAGTATCGCTGGAGTGCGTAAAAAATTTTAACCTCTAAATTAGGCTTGGTACAACCCCATTGGGCGTAAGGTTTGGTCTGTCCGTGTCAGAATAGACAGGGCCTTCCACATGGTAGTTTTTCAAGTTTGATAGGCAAGGTATATTTTGATAGTCATGCCATGCTAAGAGCAATTTTGCTTCAAATGATGTTAAAATATCGAGATAACAAGTTAAATGCTTAGCAAAGTCTCGTGGCATAACTTGAACACAAGCGACGTCATTCAGTTTGATAGAGTCTGAATTATAAGAAGATACAAAAAGTAAGTTAATCGATAGTCGATAGAAGATCTCTATCCCAGCCATTCGCTCTAAGCATGAACCAATTTCCAACTTTTTTTTATTATGCTAGAATTTCGTGAGCGCGGGCGCGAACGGGGCATGGCTCTCGGCTCGGTTCAGGTTCAGTTGAAGAATTAAATATATTTTGATGGTGGTGACCACACTACTATTGTCTTCTCTTGCAATATCAATTATTGTGTGGAAGAATAGCAGCACCAAAAAGCAATCATGTTGATTTGCCTGCTACTGGTACGATATGAACGTGCTAGGATTATTACGAGATTCTCAAATTCGAATGGAACCAAATGTCTTGCTGTTCTGTTCTCCATTTCAATCTATCACATCAAAAAAATGGTGTCAAATCTTAAAGTAAAGTTCACCCTCTCCAGGATAATCCAAACGGACAATCTCATGTAATTGAAGAACGCAATCTCCTTATAAGTACAGTGTACAGATAACTCTTACTTCCTGACTTGTTAGGACACATTTCGCGATTTACCTCCTTCACAAAGTTCTAGGGACGTAACGGTTAGAGCTCTCAAGGTTGAAGTTCAACTTTTTTTTAAACGCAATCACCTTTTTTCATTCTGATTGAAAGTTAAAATAACCACAATATTTATCTACGATAGTATAAAGGTGTTTATATTTCACATAAATGGTAGCATATCATTTGATGTGTGTTGGGATGACAAAATATTTCAACCCCACCCGCTCTATCGACGAATTACACGGTCTCAGTCTCAGCTCTCTCTTTATTTTATTTAATGTTACTAAATTTAAATACTATTTAACAAATAAAGAAGCAAATGGAAGAAAATAAGATGAAATAAGGATACTTCAATCCGCTTCCAGAAAAAACCACTCCGGCTTCGTTGCCATCCTACGTGAGTGAGACTCATAAATGGTGGTTCTAAAATAAATCTCTCCAGGAAAAAGAGAGAAATAAAATGTAATCTCATTCTACTGTGAAATAGAAGTTTTTGGGAGAGAAAACAGAATGGAAATTCTAAAACAATTGGAAGAAAAGACTCGTTGATCCATCTCCATACGATCGAAGATCAGCAGGTCTAACCAGGGCCCTGCATAAAGGGCAAGTTCTTTCTCTTTCGAACCTGCAAAAGGAAAGAGGTTAGTGTGTTTCAAGGACCTCGTATAATCACAAACAGTGAACTTGTCACGTGATTGCGATGAAAAGGAAAGACTAAGAACATGAAGTTTTCAAGCAGTATTCTTTTCTTAAGCGGTGTAAGAATGTAGCAAACTAAAACACAACGGATGTATTTGTTGCATGATGAGTTGAGGAGATATGGAAAGAGTTTCACAACACATATCCGATGTTACATTAAACAGTCAAAAACAAATGAGAAACCAAGCCTAATTCCCAATAAACTTTGAATGTTTACACGAATCCTTTCTCATTAGCTCGACTTTGTTCTCCACTACATCTATTGAAAGCTATATCATGACAAGTACTGGTCTTTCCAATTCTGATGGGGTTTTATCATTCACTGTATAAACAACAAATTTTGATTTTGGTCTTTTATTAGAAATATCAGCATCTTCATCATAGTCTGGCAACACCATGAACCACAAGCATTTTCAAAATCGAAGAACTAGCAAGCTTACACCTGCTCATAAGCAGCAAAAATATGACTTGTTGGATCATATGGTCCACTTCCACCAACTAGAGAGAGAGGAAGCTGATGATAAGAATTTTGCAAAGCATTCTTTGCATTCCCTCCATTTAGAAGTTAACAAAAGCATCCCACCCACAGCAAATTGATGGAATTTAAACAGAGGTGGTAAAACAAGACAAGACACGACACTACTGTATCGTCATCCTAAAAAGGTCAAAATCTCGTTTATACTTTAATGACAGCAGACAGTGACTCTCATTTAGATGGCAGGCAACAGGACGGTCATAATTCAATTATATGAATTTCACCCCAGTAAAAATAAATTATAAGCAAGTTGCCATCTAAGACAAGCTCTAAAATAAAAAGCTTATAAAGAATGTTCACATAAGTCAAGAGAAATTAGCAAATATGTAATCACGTAGCACAATGAAACTAACCATTCTGAAACACAGTCTTCACAAAAGATGTGTTTGCACCGCAATAAAATTGGAATATGCATCTTCTCCTGGCATATGGCACAGAGATCTCCTGCTGCAGTTACCTATATTGAATAATTTAAAAGAACTTTTTCAGAAAACCACTTAGTCCTAATACATCTAAAATCCATCATATAACACATCTAAGCGCATGAACTCGACATATTATATGACCATGAATTCAACACCAAGGACGCCATTCACCAAAAGCACTACTCCGGGACATAACCATGCTCAGAGCTGTAGTCAGGCTTGGTCAACTCAAAATGCAAAAATGAAAATGTTGGATCACAACAAGAACTGGAGTAGATAAATCAATCCATTCAGCCGACCAGAGAAACATGTAAGCATTAGCTATCAGCCAGCGTCGTAACATGTGATAATCACTACATTAATGGATCAGATCCTACTCCTACCACTACCAGTACCTAGAAGTTAGTTGGAAAGAGTTATATGAAACGGAGAAGTGCTACAAGATAATGTGATTGGAAGACGCATTGAAGTCAAAAGGCAAGTTCTGCAGAATAATTATTAGACTAGTTATGAATTATGGCACTTACTATTGGATCATAGACGACCAGTTGTCCATAAGATGAAGACAACATAAATGAGGATGTTAAGTAAATAATAAAATGGATAAAATAAAAAATGAGACTATACACACACAGGTTATACCACCAATTTAGGATAAATTAAGGGAAGGTTCAGTCAACTTAGGTGGTTGGTAGATATCTTCTGTAAACCTAAAGAAACTCCCCCTCACAAGTATGATGCAACCCCATTATGACCTAAAGCTTAAGATAACTATCTCGAAACCATATTCACATAAAGGACTAAAACATAAAGCCAAGCATGGTTGTCATGTATAGCCATTTATTTCATTGTGCACTAAAACATCTGAATGGAGAAGAAAAGGTACTCATGCATGATGGAAAACTGAAGCAAAAGAAAGACTGGGTTACTAAATGTTATAGGCTCCCATGTGTAGTAGACATTTTAGAATACTTTTTTGCAGTCCGCTTTAAAACAAGAAGTCTCCATGTATACTGTAACTCCTACTAGAAACTTAAACGCTAAAAGAAACATGATACCTGTTCTGATGTGGCATAAGACCCATAATGGATTTCCTTTCTTGACAATGCTTTCAAGGAAGCAAAGAAGGATTGGACCTGAACAGCAACATGAAAGCGAGAGAGAGAGAGAGAGAGAGCACGTATTTTAGACTGTTCTTCCAAATTCGACAGGGCTAATTTAGAACATTAAAATAAGATGATGAAACAACACACCTTCTCTACAATTGACGTAAGCTTGAAAGTTAGATACAACCCAGTTGTCAACGATGAAAATAGGCTCCCATAGTCTTTGTTCAAGAAGAATCTATACCAGACAGGAGTTGGTAACAGTGCACGGTATAGCAGCAGCGTGTACTCAACCAAAGTCAACATTTGACCCTTAATGACCAATTCACTACAGTTAGATTTCTTAGCAATTCAACTGTGCATCATTGAATTACATAATACTCTTAAATGCTTGTTTGGTAGTGCTTTTAAGTGTTATAAGTTGTGGGTCTCGTCAAATATGTGGATAACAAATGGGTAATAAATTGTAGGTCCTGCAAAATGTGTGAATAAAAGTATATTTGACCACCTTAATTTTAAAATTTAAGCTTAGCCAAACATGCACTAAATAATTTAGTTTGAAATCATTACCTGTCTGCGGAAATTGTGGCCCCTGCAATTCTTATAATAAATTAGAAGAACCAACTTCAAGATCATTGCAACCTGCCGCACCATTGTATCTGACAGTAAAAAGTCAGCTAAAATATAAAAAAATGTCTAAAAGTTAACATTCTATACCCTAAACAGGATTCAGTAAGCAGGAGAGGGGAAAGGATAAGAGAGAGAAAAATGAATAACACTCTCCGACACAGCTTCGAATAGCAATTTCCATTTTGTGATGCTCAGAAATAATGTCCCACTTAAAACATGAATGTTGTTTACAGAAATATTCTTCCCTGAAGTACATTAGATGGAACACAGAATCTGAGCCACTACTTTTGAGGGTAAAGTCTCACATTTTCAACTCTTACCTAAAACTGTGTGGCAATTCAGACCAGGACCTTCAAATTTGAAGGAGGGAGTAATTACATTTGCAAATGCAAAATAAGACACCGATGTCAATATAACTGAGGATGTTTAAATTATTAAGAGAAAAAAGGCAACCCGTTCAAGCTCTCAACAAAGTTGTTGGCAGTTCATCAAAATTCACAAAAGGGAAAAAGTTACGGCTGTTAATGATCAAAAGCAGATATATAAGCCACATTTTAAGTGGATTAAACTAAGAGTGATTGACAAAGCACTAGATTTCGAATGGGGGAAGCTGTGGAAATTCAATTTTTGACTACCAACACATATATAATGCCAAATGAAGAAGTTTATGTGCCATTATATTTATTGCATGTATAAGTAACAAGCACGTAAATTCATACCATTTACCAGGATGATGAATATTGCATGCCAGAAAGGCGGGACTGTCTCTGGAGGAACCATGAATAATGAATGGAAAAGATCATCTTTCCGATTCCACCAGTAGATACCAAATACATGAACCATGAAGACCACAGAATAACCAACAAGGACAGGAATCTTCCTCTCTCCCTGCAAAAAAGCCTGTGTTTTTAAGTTTCTGGAATTCTCCTTTTGCATCTTTATTCCTTCTGTGAATAAGGGAGTGGGCTTGAAACTTGACTTTATTTACCTAGAACGCACCATGAAAAAGTTCATCACATGGAACACAGATCATACCTTTAGAGCCGTCTGCTTTCGAACAATGTCGTTAGACTTGAACAAGATGGCAGTAATCCAAATGGTAGCAAAGAATCCTGAAACGCCATATTTAGAAAAATTAGGAGTTTTTGACTCAAGAATACATATCATATTGTCTAGTTTTGTCCAATACAATAAAGATAAAACTAGTCATCTAATACGACAAAACCTACCACATTAACTATTTTAAATGAGGAACCAATATTCTGACAAATATCAAAAGGACATTTTTGAGAACCTTAGAAGCAAGAGCTCACACATGAGAACATAAAAAACCGTTTTAATTTTACGTGGAAGATAATGCCTGTATTATCTCCTCAATTTGCAGATAAGACAAATTTTCTCAGAAGTGCAGAAGGAGAGTTTCAAGGACCATGCTCACAAGACAAAAGATAATAAAACCCTTCACTCCCATGAAGTGGAAGGATCTTGCTTGTTTTATTTCCCCATGATTCCCAATAAGAACAAAATCATTATGCGACATTCATTTCATCACTTGCGTCCGCACTTATTTAAACATGAGTATTATAAGTGACTCATCAACTCAACAGAACAGGCACCAAAATATGACTGTTGGGTAAGTAAGAGATAAAACCCATCTCTCAATGTCTTTTCAAGCACAGCATAATAGTAATGAACATATTGAAATAAATTTTCAATACGGATAAAGAAAATTGGCAAGTTCAAAAGCAAGACAGGCGTAGAAAGGACTGAAAGTTAATAAAAAATATTGTATAATTAATTGGACCCTGGCAGGCAATTCCCATGCAACTATCTTCCTGCAGTCCATGCGATGCTAGCAATAGGGAATCCAGAGGATCCACAGCTTAGTTACAATGGTAATAGGCTGTGAATTGCATTTCAATCGTGATAACAACCAATACAAAAAATGAACACTTCGAGAGAGCCATGACAACACAATAGGTGTTGCATTTGTGTTCCTAAACGAACGAGAGAGAGAGAGAGAGAGAGAGAGTGTTTAGTAACCATAATATTGATAAATAATGTATTATCTGGGTAAAATGTAGGTAATTAATAGAAAATAATTAAGAAATGAGGTCTATCATAAGAAAACATCTTGCTTCAAATTGTTCTACGATTTTTTTTTTTATTTAAAATGGATAATGAGAATCGGCAAGTTTGAAAACAACAAAGACAGGGAGAGGAATGAAAGTTAATAAAAAAAAAATTGTAATTAATTGGACCCTGAAAGGCAATTTCCTTGCAAATATGCTTTCTATGGTCCCTGCTATGCCAGCAATATTTTGGATCTGATCAGATCAGATTGGAGAAGGGTCTTGCGGGTCGGATCGTTGCTTTGAATCAAGGACGTAAGGTTTTATTAAATATTAAGACTAGATAAACATATAATATTTTTAATAATAAATTAATTGCTGAACCAAGAAGCAAACTAAAATAAAAAAATTCATTAAGTGTAGAACCAAAAATAAAAATATAAGTAAACTTCCATTTCAGCTTATTTTAAAAATCAAAATTTCAACTAAAATTAATTTTTATGATAAATTTATGTACACCAATCACGAATTTCTGTACAAATTATTCACAATGATAAATAAATTTCACAACATTATGAGCTTGGAAACCAAGCCTAATTCTACAACTAATTTTCAAAAAGCAAGAAATTTAACCAAAAAAAAAAAAAAAAAAAAAAAGAAAAAAAGAAACCGGAAAAAAGAATAGAAAACACTGAACGCATATAGATTAAAAAGCAAAATGCAAATCAAATATTTTAAATGCGATCAAAGAAAAGGTTGAAAGAACATAATTCAAAAATATGACGAACAAATGAATGTCATTGTCGATTTTCCCAATAGTCAGTAGACAATGAAAGATAATAGATTTCGATTAGGAATTCTAATTTTTGCCGTTTTCTTTTACTTTGCTTTCGTTAAAATTTGATTTGGGCTTTAGTTCAAAACGAACCTCAACCCAAGTATCCAACAACCCATGAATAACAAGGAAAACTTATAATGATGAAAAAATGGAGGATCATAAAAATCATTAGGACAAGTAGAATCCACAGGAATCATCTGATTCTACAATTTTAAGATCCTACTACTGGATGAGGTCATTTCATCATTTTCAGATTGTAGAATCGTGGGATATAAGATCCGGATCAGGAGTTTAACAACCACAATTCCAGCAATAAGGAATCCACAGGACCCACATCTTGTTTACAATGGTAATAGGCTGTGAATGACATTTCAATCATGATTTCAACCAATATAAAAAAAATGAGCACATTGAGATAGCTATGAAGGTGTTGCATTGGTGTTTGTAGACAAGAGAGAGAGAGAGACTGTTGAGTGACAATAAGCATAAAGATTTTCATTCACTAATTTCATTTAACAATTTCTCCCGGTAAAAAGGATTTATGAGTAGTTTTTGTGCATAGATTTTCTGGTCACAAGTCGCAAGATGACTTTCGATGTGAATTGTTCACTAAAACTACAAAGTGCTTTGCAAAAAATGATTTCGTTTCAAGCATTCGGTATATAGAAAATGTGCAGCATTAAGACATGGAAATGTACATACATAGTTTGGTTTCTATACTATTCCAAATGCGGAAGAAATTTTAAATATAAATTGTTTTCAAAAATTAAAAATGATTTTCCTACATATATCGTAATAATATGCTAGTTTGTTACAGACTTTGAAAGAGAGCCCATATTGATAATACAATAACACGTTAAAATGTATTTGAATTTTGAATTGATTTAATGATTTGAAAAGGATATCGAGAGATGGAATGATTGCAATTAAGCTAAACAAGAAACCCAATGATATATGATATTGCATCGTCCTCTAGAACAATGATCTGTGAAAATATAATTTGTATGAGGAGGACAATATTAAAATGGTTCAGAATGCTCGTGCTAATTTTAAATGAACAAAGTCAACCAAAATAGACAATTGATCAATCATGAGATTCTAAGAGGGAATTGTTGTGTTTTAGATAATGCAGCAAGATCAAAATCAAAATGCAAAGTGACAATAAAGCCAACGAGAACATAACTTACACGTGCTTCTAGAGGGAACAGAGAAAAGATGATGCATTTTCTTTAATTGCATAGTTAACTGATCATCAAATACTTCTTGAATAAACCTTATCATGCTTGGCACTAGGTTATCTAATAATCGAAATCAACATTTTTCCACTATCAGTTTAATACATAACAAGAATACCAACATATTATAGCATCTAAAAAATTTTAAACACAGCACAAATCCAACATTTGGACTAAAAAATTCAGAACATTCACCTTGCAAGTGCTGTCGGATGAAAACCACCAATAGTAGCAAAGAGAAGGGAAGAATCTGCTCAATCCACCTTGCCACCTGCTGTATATCATATCTCTGATACGACGAAGTATTGCCATTATTCTCATTACTATTAGTGGTAGTTCCATTCCCATTAAAATCATCGGTCCCCAACGCAGACTCCTCCATGCCCAATCCCAGTCCAGACCCCGATTGATCATTCTCATCACCATTTCCAACAACCCTAACCCCATCCTGCTCCCCCGCCCCAATAATCCGAATCGAAACCTCCCCATTATTATTACTGCTATTACCACTATCAGTAATATCATTGCTGTTAATTGAGCTTAAATCGTTAGGAATTTGGACATTATTATTGGTATTTTCGGATATGAGAGGATGGGCTTCGGAGTAGGGATGATCGGGCCGGACCCGAAGGATGCCGGTGTGTTCAAGTAGGGTTGAGATAGGGGACCGGAAGAACCGGAGGAAAGGGAATTGTATCCTGGAATTTCCCCCATTGCTTGGTGAAGAAGGTAACGAATCCTCATTGGAACTATCAGGACTCACACCACTCGATGTCTCCATAACTCTTTTGCATTCAATTCAAAAAACCCACCTCCAAAATCTATCACAATTAAGGTATCAATCAAACCCAGCAAGAAATAATCGAGACAAAAGAAATGTGTTAAATGAGGGAATCGTCAATAATATAATAATGCAAGCATATATCTATACACATACATACATACAAACAATACATAAATTACTGGAAAAATATGAGGTTATACAGTGAAAGAGATGGAAAAGAAAGAAAAATATCTGAAGGAAAAGGTCAGAGAGTGAGAGAATTAATTTCGGGATTATTGATGAAGGCCAAAACGAGTAACGTAATTCATGAGCTAACGCCGGTGTGTAGGGCGCATTAACGACTCAGACACTGGAATTGCAGTTACAGAAATCTTGTCTTTTTCTCCATTGGCGTAAACGGCGAGAAGATTTGTGAGGTTCGATCCGAAGGAGATTTGTGAGTACATACGTATTCGTTTTTGTTTATGTTTTATTTTCTGTTTCCACTAGCAGAAATGATCAAATTAAAACAAAATATAGAATTGGATGATTATTTTTTAAATATAACCAAAGTTGATGATTTTAATTTCTAACATTGAATTTTTTTTCCTTCTGTTTGAAATTTTTACAAAGTATGTCAATTTACCTATAAATTTATTGTTGGCAGTAATAAATATTAATTTACGATGGATTCTGTTTTAAAATTAATGACAAAATTAGTCGGACGCTGGCTTATGACAAACAATTCTTTGAAAAATTTCCACAATAACCAAAGACAGAAAAAGTCCATCGCAATTTGTAACGAATTTTGTTTTTTCATCACCCATTTTCTTGTAACGCCTTTGTCTAAACTTTTGTTATTAATAATAGGGGAGAATTTTTAAAAAAAAATGTGAACCTGCCCAAATCAAATTAAAATCGTAGTTTCGGAATCGTTGGTGGAATACCTTTAGACCTGTTCGGTAGTTGATTATAAAAATTTATTTTTTGACCGTTATAGAAAAAAATGGGTTTCACCTGTGAGTGAAAAAGTAAAAAATGACGACTGATCTAAAGAGTAACGATAAAAAAAATTGATTTTTTGGTTTGAAAAATCAGAATCAAACGGGGGCTCCATTTCGAATCAAACCAAATCGTTTGGGAATGGTTTAATTTATATTTCGATAGTTAAAGAATCCTTAAAATTAAACAACATCGTTAATTCATTTTTTTGCCCTTGTTTGATTTAATTTAGATAAAAATCACATTTTTAGTATATTTTTATAAAAATTTATAAATTATGCGGTTAAAAAGTTATGGAACTCATGAAATAAATTGTTGAAATTTGAAAATGATTATTAACTTTGACTTAAATGTGAATCTAAATTTTTAGATGGACCAAATAGGGACTTTAGAAAAAAATTTACTTGCTTTTATACTTCAACAAATTTAGTTGCTACATATTTAGGTACCATATTAATATTTATCTTTTGAAGGTTACACTTTATATGTAGCATTCAGATTTCATACTAATATATTTTATTTTTTTCATTTGTTTGAATAATATTTTCTTTTGGTCGCTTAAACCGTGGTTTGAAACTAAAACTGAATAGCAAAAAGCACGTTTGGAAAATGAAATTGTTTGCTTAGGTTTGGAATTTATTTTTTTTAAATTGTTTAAATTGTTCGATCTAAAATAGTTCAAAAATCACTCAAAACGAGGATTGTCCACTCGTATATTTAGATATGGATTGTAAACTTTGGAACAACTCATCTACTTCGAAAACTAGTTCTTGTGACTAATTTTGACTAAAACATAAGCGTTATCCTTTTTGGTTGCAACATGCATGACACGTGCCGTGAATTGTAATTTGGTGTTCAATCTATAATGATGAATATATTGGAATAATAATATATCCATATGGGTATATAGAGTAAGTACGAAAATATCGAAAACAAAACTAAAAGGAAAAACAAAATAGCTGAATTTTTGGCCTGAGCGAGTGCCCAATGTCGCTTTCAATAATCCGAGGCCAGAACTTTTGACCTAAGTGATCGCCCAATTTTGTATTAGGTGATCACCCGAGCTAATTTTTTGACCGTTGGGTTTAAAATTTCTAGTTCATTTTTTGGCACCTTTCCACAAAAAAAATACATGTTTTCATGAACTTTTTGAGGATTTTTTCGTATTGCATGATTGAGAATCTATATGTATGAATTAAATTTCATTTCTCTACACAATTATTACACCACCAACAATTGGAATCATTCCAATCATAGAGAGGTTTGCAAAAGTCTCTTTACATATTCACCCTTTTGAGCGTTCTTCAAGTTTTTAGTAGAAAACATAAGTGCTTAGTGTCTTTCTTCTTTTAAAGCTTATTAAATCCTACAAACCATTTGCCATGAATCCTTTTAAGCATAAAAAACAATCCTAGAGAGGACAAATTTAGTTTGGGACAATGATTACGCGTTCAAGTCAATTTTCGGTGTTTCTCTTTCTTTGGTTTTTTCTCTCCATCCCTTCGTTAGGATCAAATTTTTTCCAACAATCTCTAACTATTTTTTTTTTTTTTAATGGAGAATGAAACTGCCATAGCTACCGTTAAACTTATGAATTAAGACCTTGTTCGCTTAGATCGATTCGACGGAACAAATTTCACTTGATGGTAAGACAAGTTGAAGTTCTTTCTCACGGCGTTGAAGATTTTCTACGTCGTTGATCCGGAGTTGGCATCACTATTAGAACCAACAAATGGAGATACCAATGCTGTAAGAGCCGATAGGCAAAAGCATCAAGAAGATAAATTAATTTGCCTCGGTCACATACTCAACACACTATCGACTAGTTATATGATCTCTACACCAACATATCATTGGAAAAAGATATTTTGAATGCATTAGAGAACAAATACAAAACAAGAAAGAAGCAAAGTGGCATCCATTGATGAAGATAGTACTGTGGCTATTGTGAACAAAATAAATGCTACCAAGGAAAAAGTTCCCGATTGATGGTATAATATATGTGCAACTATATATGTATCATATGATAAGTCACTCTATAAGACTTATGATGAATTAAATGGAGAGCGAGAGATTCAGATGAGCAATAAAGGTCGTTCCAAAGTGGAAAGGGAAAAATCAAACATTGGATATTTCAAAGTATAGGGCGTCTTGCATATTGTAAGAACACGGACCCTAAAAAGATCAAATTGGGTCCAAAAGACATTAAATGTGTCTTTGTTAGATATCTTAGCAATAACAAATTAAATAAATTATTGAATTTGAGACCAATGCGATAACTGAATCAAATGACGTGGAGTTCTTTGAAAATTCACTATCTTCGAATAATGAATCAATGGAAACTCAAAAAAACATTTCTAGCTTTATAATGGAACACAAGATAAAACATATTTTAAAGATGTCAATGAATCTAGTGAACCTCGAAAAAGTAAAAGAACTCAAATAGAAAAGATCTTAGGACCGGATGAAATTGATTCCCAATTTATTTCACTTTACTTAGTAGAGAGAAATGAGAAGAATGTAGTAAAAATAATACCTTTTGTTTTACAAGTGAAAACTGATCATAAAACTTATAAAGAAGTTATCGCTTTTTGTGATAGTATCTTTTGAAAAGATACAATAAAAAATAAAATGAATTCAATTATGTCAAACAACACGTGAATACTTGTCGATTTACCCCTTGGGTTTAAACCTATTGGTTGTAAATAGGTGTTTAGGAGAAAATATATTGTGGATTTCTCTCCTAATACCTTTAAAGCTAAATTAGCAGCTAAAAGTTATCGATAAAAGGAAGGAATATATTATTTTAATTATATATGCATTGATAGCTAGAATAATATTAATTAGGATATTATTTGTATTAACATCTACCTATGATTTGCATGTTTATCAAATGAATGTCATAATGGCATTCTTAAATGAGAATCTCGATAATGAAATTTATATAGAACAACCTGAATGGTTTGTTCTACCTGAAAATGAACACAAGGTGTACAAGCTAGTAAAATCATTATATTGTTTAAAACAAGCACTTAAGAAATGATATGAGAAATTTGATTTAGCAATTATTTAATTAAGGCTCAAACACAATAGTGTAGATAAATACTTATATTCAAAATTACGCGATAATTGTGTTATATTTATTTGCTTATACGACAATGGCAAATCTAGGAATTGGATCCAACTAGTGTGGTCGTTGACCGTCGATCGTCAATGGTCGTAATAACAACATCATTTATTAAACACGATCGTGCATATTACTATATTTCGATTTATTCTTAGAAACTGTTTCCACGGACAATTTTTTTTTTTTTGCAATAGTTACAATAAAAAATTGGAATATATTTTCAATTAGACAATAACAGATTCCAAGTATAATGGACAAGATTTCAACTCTCATTCATTCTTAATAAACAGAAAATACATATAAGGGAGAGTCTGAACAGAAAATTCCAAGATGCTAGACTCTAAGAATAAGCTATGCTTTGAATCCAATTCGAAACAAAGAAAAGAGAAGGTCAGGCTCCCTTTGAAAATTCTAAGTTCTACCCATTGGTAATGTATTTCATTTATATTCAAAAGCTATATAAAATTTGGGTCCAAAATTCCAAATTGTCCAATAGGAGGAATTTCTACTTTCGTAAGAAATTAACATAAAAAAAAAATCATGAATCAAGAAATTGGATTCCACCATAAAGCATAAATGAGGCCTTTATTGTGAAATCATAACTCATAAATGATAAATCAAAAAAATGAATTAAAAGAATAAAAAATAAGAACAAAGAAGAAGAGAGTCAGAGGCTCATGACATACAAGTCCTGAAGATGGCAACTGGCAACAGGGCAAAGGTTGAGTACTATTGGCGAGTGCGATGCACATAGTGATAGGGCAGCGGGAGAAACCTTAGCCGCCGATTTGAAAATTGCAAATTGGAATAGCTGAACAGTTTGGGACTTGGATTAGAAATTTAGGTAAAATGGATTTGTTATATGAACTTGAATTTAAGCGACTTGATTGTATTTGGGCCTAATTCTTTTTTTTTTTTTTAACAACATTAGACTCAAAAGAAAAGGCCCAAAAAATTGAATAAAAATGATGCGATCCCACGTAGCGCGATCACTACCAAACCCACAACAAATTGAGAATCAAACCCAAGAAAAGCAAAGACAAGGTTTTGAATTAAACCCAATAAACTGGAACCAATCAACCCGAATCGCCGACAATATGCGGACCTCTTGATTACGCAATTTAAATTAATCTCACCTAGTTGATTTGAATGCCACAAGATTAATTTTGATAAGTTCACAAGTTGTTCAACGAAAAACGAGAGAAAAAAATTAATGCCTCACGAATAATATTCAATAATATGAGAGTTGTAATGTTTTACAATAAGGAATAAAGTATTTATACTATTCTAGAGAACCTAAGTAAACTAAGAAAAATATCTAAGAATAATGCAAAATTTCGTCTACAATAGCTTAATTATGGTAAAAATCTA